GTCTTTGTATTCTTCACTTGGAGGTTCCGGCACATTCACACAATAAAAAAGTTAAAAAAGATGTTTGCGAAGTTGAGAAGATGGAAGGCATTTCTACCTTCAACATCCAAGTCGCCACACCCTACACCACGTAAATCTCTTGCAAGCTCCTGTGTCTTCTCATATGCCACGGCTAGCAATCTGAGATACTGAATGCACAAAAATGAACAGCAAAAGGATCAATTAGTGGGTCCTTGTTTCCCTGTCAATCAGCACCTTAGAAGAAAATCTCTTGTCATGTTACTCACTAATATAAGTCCACCTTCTTCCATGGGAGGTGGACTGACAAGAGACGGCTTCAGTAAAAGTTTCTCAAGAAGCTTTGGAACACGGTCCTCCAAGACACGCTGAACAACCACCACGGATTAGTCACTAAATCACAATTCACAGATCACAATACATTTTTTGCAGTAACGCATTTAGGCAATCATTTTACTTGAATGGCAACCAGAACCGATACAGAATAGCAGATGACGTGGAGGAAGCTCAAATTAAATAGGGAGCAACGTTACAGAAAAATCAATGAATATTCATCGGAAAGCATGTTGGTCATATAACAAGTCAAAAACTAGCAAAATCACTCTGATATACTGGAAACATCATCGCACCAGAGGAAGATAATTCTAGAACTAATCTACCTCAAGTACAACGGCAGTAGTAACCCACCCATACCTGAACCAGTATTGACATTACATCGTTTGGGGAAGGAAAAACGGCTGCAATAGTGGCGGCTTCTTTCCGCACAGTCTCTGAAAGTAAATCCAAGGCGTCAGGAGGCATGTACTAAAAAGAGAACCCACTGTTAGATTTTCGGATCAATTTGTCATTGATAACCTGTAATCTCTTTATAAATTGAAGAAAGACCACGCGCGACATTGCTAGGGCTGGACTGGGCACCCTGATCTCCAAGAACCAATTCAGCATCTGCATTCATGACCTCGACATCGAACATTGGACATAATCCCACATAGTGTTGCATAGCACTGGTACCCCTATTAAACTGCTTTCCAAAAGTAACACGTCAAAAGCTGAAATTATTCTGTTTTAACAGCTATCGAGACGACCAGAGTGCCAAATGCTCTCTGGCACATTTTCGAGGTAGTAAAGAACATCTCTTTTCCGGCGTAATCTAGCCTTACCGACGTCTTTTTTTTAGAATCTTTAATTTTAATCATCCTCCAGTGATTAATCTTAAAAACTTTTTAGTTCAGTATGGGTGATAACAGGATTTATTTTACAGCCGGGCTCAAATCTTATGACATTACTAAGCTTGAATCAAGAGCAGAAACATGGTTCGAATGCGTGGAAAGGAGCCGTAACCTCATGCGTAGATCAACCTTCAGCAGGAAAACTATGGAATGGTTATGCTTTGTCTTTCAAGAAGCCTCAAAAGATCCTGGCACGTTCGTTAGAAAATGGCAACTAAAGGAGCAATGCTTTGTCTTTGATGCCCCAGAGTCTTAGTATAGATTACTCAGTATGCCATAAACAATTCAAGTTTCAGTGTTCATAATCAGTTCAAAATACATATCTCAGTCTCGTCCTATTCAGCATTTCGGTATTATATAACTCAGTGTGATTCAGTATTCCAATATCATGTAACTCAGTGTGATTCAGTATTTCGCTATCACGTATTGCAGTATGATTCTCATTTCCTAATTTTAAATCCCCGAATGTTGAACACCCGTATTTGGGCCTGAGGCCGCAGTTTATGCTTTATACATCTTTGGGTCTGAGGCCGCAGTTATGTATACGTATACTTGGGCTCGAGGCCGCAGTTGTGCACATATATATATTGGGCCTGAGGCCGTAGTTTAATATTAAGATAAACATGTAGGAGTATTCATATCCTTACTTCCTTTGTACAGTTCAGTTATCAGTTATCATTTATCATTTCAGTTATCAGTTATCAGTTATCAGTTATCAGTTATCATTTTAGTTTCTTTTTCAATAGTTATCATCTTAATATCAATTATCAATTCTCAGTTATCAGCTTTGTTTCAGTTTCAGCATTTATAATTCTTTCTTTCAGTTGTTTTACATACTGGTAGAATTCAAATATACTGTCGTCCCTTTTGCCCGGGGCCTGCATCTCACGATGCAGGTAATGATTTACAGGTTGACGATTTAGAGTGCTAGGATTCTCGTACCAGCTATTTAGTGATGCCCAGTTCTTTCGGGGCATTATCATTACCTTACAGTCTTCAGTATTTTTAGGCAGTCAGTGTTTTCAGTACTTCATTAGAGGCTTCATAGACTAGAGTATGCCTGTTAATCGGGCCGGGCTGACCCGTTTTCAACCCGGGTCAGTCCAGTTCAGCCTGCTACTGTTCATTATTGGGCGGGTTGGGGCGGGTTGGTTTGGGGCGGGGGGGTGGACGAACACGTTCTACTTAACGGTGCACCGAACTCGTAGCCCGTGACCCGTTAACGGGTTGTTAACGGGCTGCAGCCCGTTAGTAGCCCGGTTACCGTTGGTTAATTTTTTATTTTTTTTAAATTAATTGGACTGTTGCCAACGGTCAAATTGAGAAATGACCGTTGGGGAACAGCTAGATTTTGCAAAAATGGCCATTTCGGCCTCCCCATTAAAAATATAGCCCTCCCACCCCTAATAATTATAAAAATTACATTTTTAACCTTTTAAAATCTACAAATACCCCCCCTTCTTCTTCATTTTTTCTCACAATTCACTCTCTTACTACTCTAATTCTCTCTCAAGTCTCAATTCTCTCTTGATATTATAGTTCTTAAATTCTCAATTCTCAAATCTCAAATTCTCAATTATTTATTATTTCAAGTTTCATCAATCATTTAGTTTAGCCATTACAAATTACTATTATCAAATATCAAGTATTCAAGTGAAGTGTGGTATCAAGTATCAACTATCAAGTTTCGGTCTATCAATTGAAGTTTGATTTTTGATATCAAAAATTCAAAATTAGTGCGGCATCCGAAATCCCGGTACACTCATTCCATCTCTTTTTTTTATTTGGTGTGCACTTATTTTATTATTTAGAATTATTAATTTAATTTCTTAATTTAATTTCTTACTTTAATTTACATAATGGATTTACTTAGAGCGACCAAAAAAGCGTGCACTAGTAGAGGTGGTAGTAAGAAAACTTCCAAAAGATCAAGAGGTGGTGTTTGTTCTTCTAGTAACTTATACATATTTCTGAAAGTTCACCTGAAAATTTAAATGTAGATTATGAGCGAATACAAAAAAAATTTGGTATAGATGATGATTTAGATGATATGTTAGATGATATTCAATCACCCGATAATCTTGAAACACCGCCACCTACACCTGGTAATGCTAGTCAAACTCAAAATGTTAGGGGTGGAACAACTAGGCCTCCTCTCCCTATTAAGAAGAATCAACGATTAAGAAGTAAGTGTTAGATATTTTTTGAAAGACTAGAAGATCAAAAAAATTATGTAAAATATAAAATTTGTAGTGAACATTATAAACATGAGCCCTGTAAGAGAGGGGGAACGGGTCAACTTCGTAGGCATATGGAAGAGAAACACCCTCTTGATTAGGGAGTAGATGAGGCATCTGGGCAACAAAAACTTAACCCGAGTACTGGGGGGTTATTTGGTAAATACGATATTAAGAAAGACCGGGAAGAATTAGCTAAAATGATTGTTTTTGGTTGTTTACCTTTTAGTTTTTCTTCTTCACCGTATCTTGTTACATATATTCAAAGAATTTATAACCCTATGTTTAAAGGTATTTCTAGAAGTACTTGTAGAGCTGATATCTTCAGGCTTTTTGGACAAAATCAGACATATATACGTTATTTGTTCGCAAGTCTTCCTTGTAAAGTTTCTATTACTTCTAATATTGGTCGTGCAATAAATGAAAATGATTATTTGACTGTTACATGCCATTGGATAGATGATAATTTTTGTATGCAAAAACGTATTATTGCTTTTAAATATAATGAAGATTAAAGTCATACTGGTGCATTTCTAAGTAATACTATACATGAAGTTGCTATATTTTATAATCTTGCAGAAAAAGTTTTGTGTATGTCGTTTGATAATGCTTCTAACAACAATGCTGCTATTACAATATTACAATTGCATCTACACCCACCACTTCCTGAAATATTTCATGTTAGATATGCATGTCATATTTATAACTTGATTGTGAAGAGTGGCCTTGAATTATATGAAATTACTTTAGTTAGGAGAGTTGTTGGTTAATTCAAGGAAATAATAGAAGTGCTAGATTAAATGCATTTAAGGAAAAATGTGTACACTATGGACTAAAACCAAGACTCATGCCTAAAGAAGTAGTTACTAGGTGGAATTATACTTTTTTATTCTTAAGATGATGTTATAAATATAGAATGCCTATAACTCAAGTTACTAATTCTCATTGTACCGATCTTAGCCGTTTGTTAACATCTAGAACTTGGGATGTCATTCATGATGTTGTACAATTTTTACAAAATTTTTATGTGACTACACTTGAGTTTTCTGGAGCTTATTATCCTACTATTGCAAATGGTTTAGTTCATATTGCTGAAATTTCTCTTTTACTACATAATTTGAAGCAGAAAGAAGGATATGATACTGTTGTAGAATCTATGCTAGATAAGTTTAAAAAATATTTCTACTCAATTCCCTATATTTACCTAATTGGTGCATATTAAACCCTACTGTCAAAATGATAAAGTGTCGCCAATTAATTAGAGCTTTATATACTTATATAGATATTGGACCAACTGAAACTCCTGATATTTACACTTGTATTTCTGAGCTACACACACATTTACAAACTTTATATAATTATTATGCTAACATTATTGATGCTTCTTCGATTGTAGATGCAAATATTCCTTCAACTACTGGAACAACTATGGATGATGATGATTGTGTTCAAGATTATCTGATTTGGTCTACACTAGGAGAGCATCAACAAACCAGTAGCAGGAATATTGATGAACTACAATTCTACTTACAAAAGTCACCATAGCCCCTCACAAAGGATTTTCTACCGCTGGGTTGGTGGAAGAGCAACTCAAATCAATTTCCTTTTCTTTCGGCCATGGCTCGAGACGTGCTAAATGTGCCGATTTCAACAGTCGCATCAGAGAGCGCATTTAGCCAAGCAAGGCAGCAGCTAGGAGATACCCGTCATTCATTGGGCAGCAACGCTTTGAAAATTCTAGTGTGGTTCTGAGATTGGATAAGATCATAACGGCAAAATCAAGAGCGTGCCGAGGTAGACGAAGAGGAGGACCAAGAAATTGGAGATATAATGGTTTATGGTTCCGATTCAACCAATGCCAGAAACCTAGGACCTCATGTTAACATGGAAGAACTTACAAAAATGATGCAAAATATGTGATGTACTATTTCTTATTTTTATAGTTATTGTAAACTTTTAATTTGCAAGTTCAAAAATAAAAAATAAAAAAAGAACTTGCAAATTAGTTTGAAGTATTAAGAATAAAATGAAAGCCTTCGGAGTTTGTTCCTTACATATTGCCTATTGGTCTTATTAAATATTTTTTTGTAGCCACTTACTTTCTAGTTTCAATTTTATAATTTTAAAATACAAATTTCAAATTTAAAACTTTAAACTTCAAAGTTTAATTTTAACCCTTAAAAGTTTGCAAATACTTAAGTATCAATAACATTGAATAAGAAAAATAAAAGTTAATTTAAAAAAAATACTGTAGCTCGGCCCGCCCGAACCCGCTTAGACCCGAACGGGCCCTAAAAAACCCGAAATTTCCCAACCTGCCACCAGCCCGTTATCCCAGCCCGCTAAACAGCTCGCCCGCTAACCGAACGGGCTAGATTTTTTCCCGTTCAGCCCGTCCCAGCCCGCCCGATAAACAAGTATAGACTAGATTAACAGTTAGAAAGAATCACATGCATTTATGGTTAAGCAATGTTGCTACATATATGTTTTAGGCCTATATTAGTATTTTCGCATTTGATTTATATTATTTAGACTTTTAGTATA